GCGAACACACGTTTCATGCAAAATATTTTGTCTTGTGGAAGCTTGCTAAAGGTGATCTCTGACAGGGAACCCATTGCAATCTCCTGAGGGGTAGGGAAGAAGTTTATCTGGAATTTCCTAAATTCCAGCAAGGAATACATTTCCCTTGAAATGCCCTATCACCCCTTCCACCTTCCTTGCTCCTTGACACTGCTGCAGTTTCTGCAAAGCCAGAAGGAGCTTTCAGTCTTCATTCAGAAGGCTGTCGTGTGGATTTTTAGTCAAGGAGGTTGTGGTCGAAGACCCTCACGTGATCAGATGACAGGCTCTGACTGTGGGTTTCATGAGCAGTTCCACCAGGTGGAACTCAAAAATACTAGCATTTAATTTGCATAAATACAGAGCTGGAGATCCTAAATCCCAGGTATTACACATTGGTATAAATATAGCAAGTTGCAGTTATTGATTCCAGTCAAGGAGAGCCTGGGAAAGGATCAGATTTCCACTTAGATAACCAATCTTTTCTCTGAGTGTCTGTGAACACTGACATTTTTTGGCCTCATGCAGTTTAGGATTTGCTATAAAGTCATTTTGAAAGCTATGGAAAACCAATAATGGTAAGCAACTCAGCTCTTAAGTGTAAAGACACTGATAAGACTGAGATAACTGTAAGCTCTGAAAAAAACAAAAAGAGGTTATAGATGTAAACAGTCTCATTTGTCTTTGCAATAAGATGATCATTTCAGATGGTGAAAAATTTTTTTTTGGTGTTCAAATCACTTGAGATTTTATTGCTTTTGCTTGTCCTTAGAAGTTTTTTGTCTCTTTTCTTCTTTTTTTTTTTAAAGGTGCTGTCCCTAGTCAAGTTATAAGGCAACATATTTTATTGATTCAGAACTCTAATACATAGTATGGCCACTGTTATCACTGCAGCTTTGCAGCTACCGTGAGTTGGACAACAGTCAAAGTGCATGACAATGCACAACAGAGCCAGTCTCCTGACCTTACAATATACAGGACACTTTGGTTCTTGGGATGAGAGATTATAAATGTAGCTTAGATGCTGCCTCACATCACACACTTTGCATAATAAAACATTTATATGCTGTCATGAAGAGGGTGTAAAGTCTAAGTCACACTGCAGACTGGCTGGTCTCAGCTTCTCTGTTCGGGCAGGTGTGAGAGACAAGTTGTAGATATGCCACCAGTGAAAGCATATAAATGTACCTGGTGCAAAAGTTTTACAAGAGTATTTATAAATGATTCAACAAGGGAGAGCAAGAAAGAGAGCGAGAGCTAAAGTGCAATTTCAAAATAATATAAATAATTGAAATGTAGAAAAAAGATACTAATTAGTTGTAACTGGTTTTGTTTTATAGGCACAGTTTAGGTTTTCTGCTTACAGATCAATTTTTTTTCTCTTCTTCCCCCTCCTGTAATTTTCTCTGATGTATAATGGAGTTTCAATGGTCTAAATATAAGGAACACTGCTTAGTAAGAGGACAGAAGAGGCAATGGTAAGGCAGTATAGTGCAACTCACTATGTGATATTAGAATAGAAACAAGGATGGGGTTAGATCTTCTGTGGTGATGTATCAAATCAGCCTTAAGGAAAAAAAAAGGGTAGAAAAAAAAGATAGGCTTTCCAGTTATATGTTTACTCATGCTTTCTAAAATGAGAGAGCATATTTTCCAACACAAAGGAAACAACTGAAGATTTATCATTTGTTTCATTGTTACAAAAAACAAAAAAGGAAAAGAAAAAGAAAAAAAAGCAGATGCTGCTTTAAGGAAAACATTTAATTCTAGGAATTTCTGTACAACTGACCTCAGCAAGCTTTTCCATCTTAGATGGATGACTTCTGCTTGAGACCCTGAAAAATTAAGATGCACACACACCTAGAGCAGTTTATTGCAAAACTAATATTGTAACTTTAAAAAAAACCAAAACCCCAACAGATTCTATACAAGAATACTGTTCAAATGGAATGTGTTAAAATAACATTTATTAATAAATACTTTATAAAATTCTATGTGAATACTAAATTAATAGATTCCTGTTTTAAAATTGCTTTGGTCCTCATGAATTTTCATAAATTCACTCTATACGCTTTTTTTTAAAAAAAGGTATTAGCTGCTAAAAAGCACATTTTGCCTAAACTAAAAGGCTAGTTTTCAACACTAAATATTGTTGCTTAAAAAAATATGAATCCTCAAAAGTTGGGCATTTAACAACAGTTATAGCTGGCTTGTTAGTTAACAGGACTGAATCATTAAATCCACACGCACTGAGGCACTGAACCATTGACTTTCCACTATTCAGAAGATGGGCAGCAGACATTTAGCTTTGTAGCAAGAATTAACTCCCAACAGCGTGAAATTCTCCATAAATCATCATCATCATCGTCCTTATAAAACACGCCGTGATAGCACACAAACTACTTGTCTCCCACAGGCAGCGTTATGAATATGGCTTGCATAAACTGACTTGGGGAAGAGGGGCTAGGGACGAAGGAGCCGGATCACAGCATCGTTTCTTTCCAATCGAAGTATTGTAATTGTCCATGGCTGAGATTTCCAACGTGCTTCCAATGTCACACGACAAGAGATGCCGTCTACAGAAATACCTCCTCCTGAGCAAGGCAGTGGCCAAGGCTTGGTGCCCTGGGAAGCGGGTGACGGAAGGGATCCAAGTTGTCCTTCGCTGGCAGTAGGATAGGGCACAGAGCCTGGTGAGCCTAGCAATAGGCTGGATTGGCAGGGCAAGAGGAAAGCAGAGCAGTCTCCAGAAGCAGCTAATGGAAAAGCAGGATTCCTCCTTGACAGAAAGAGCCTGGGAAGTGCATTCAGAGTGACATGCTTGGGAAGAGGCTGTTGCCACTGACCACATGGCAGAGGAACTTCCAGGGGACAGAGGGGCTGGGGCTTCTCCTGTAGCCCTTGCTCAGGCAGCCACCAGTGCCTGGCTGGACCAGCAGCTTGAGGAAAGGCTGCAGGATCATTCCCCTGGAAAACAATAGCATTTTAATGTGGAAGCAAATCTGATGAATAATATAAGGTGCCTGGTACAGTTGGTCCTTTTACCGATGATATAGCTGATATAAAGATGCTGCATGTTGTCTTGGCCTGTGAACCTGCGACAGAGTTACAAGAAGCAATAGCAAATAGCTTTTCATCCTTTACTTATTTCCACATCACTAGCAAGGATTATACCTAAAGGCCAATAGTATAGAGAGGAGACATTTCATTGTAATTACACATTTAGGCCAACATGTGTGGTTGGCTTGCCTAGTTAGCATTAAAAAAAGAAATAATTGAGCTATATATAATACACATCAGTCAAACTGTCAAGTTGCTGAATTTAACAAAACTTAGGCGAGGTTTTTGTATTTTTTCCTTTTTTTTCTTTTTAATGTAGAGGCTTTCAGTTTAACAGCTAAATATTTTAATTGAGGAGACTGAATAAAAAGAAGCTAAACCGTAATTCTAGTGCAGTGTAGCTCAACTGGGTATTCTAATATTACCAAAAACTTTGATTTTATTTTTTAATGTATTTAAGTGCTACCCATATAGAAGGAAAATTTTTTAAATTAACCCTGCAATGGCATTTCCTTTATGACGGTGAATGATGAAATTCAGACACAGTGGAAATGCTTATTTGGGTTTCTTTACACAGTGGATACTCAGCTGGAACATTTTGCTTGACTGCATATTTGAAAAAAGTTCCCTTGGGAGCCGTGATGAAGCAAAACCATTTAGCTATTACAACTGGAGATTAAAAAAAATTATAGATTCAGTATTTAAAACACTTTAAAAGTATATGTTTGTCTAAAATATAATAGAAAATCCTTTACATTTGTATTTTTTCGTAATTTTTTTTGGTTCTTAGACTATATAATAAGGTCAAGATTTACACTGTACATTAAAAATCTTCTTCTTTTGAATGTATTTGCATAAATGGAAAGCAAGCTGTTAGAGAAAGGAATACTGATAAAAAGTTAGTTACCAAGATAAGAACTAATTCAGAAATAGATGATCCTCAGAGTTTTGCTTTCCCTTCTAGATGGGCCCTGCTCCGTACAGTGCCTCCTCACACTTCAGTTGTTTCACTCTCCCTCCCACACGGAGAAGAGCCACCCTTTTAAACTCCACAACTTCTCTAAAAACCAAAGACACAGTCTTTGAGGAGAAGAACTTCGCTTCACAACAAAGTGTGTTCAGGGCTAGAGGATTTGCAAGGAATAATGTGAATTTTGCTATAAAAGATGCAGCTCAAAATGTTTGAACATTTACCACCAGCTCGGAGCCCACTCCCCTGGTGAATAGCAGGAGGTTTTGCTGCTGACAGATTTGAGAGCAAAATCGGGTCCCAATATACAGAAAGGCAGTGTAATTAACTGGCATCATCTCCGTCTGATTTTCCCATCAATCAGTGGTACCACTCGGGGATGCAAATCAGTCGCTCTGAGGGGCAGGCTCAGAGTCCAAACAAAAACCTTAATTGTGGCATGAGGCTCTTTTCCAGACCCTCTTTGCAGGACTGTATTTTATCCCAAGTGCAGTGGGATTTGGCCTTCCTGCAGCACTTTTTAGCCGCTGCATGCTTTCTAAAAATTATTTAGCGTCCTAATGAGACAATTCCTTACCCATGGTAAACGGGCGTTAAGTGCCATTAAAGTCAGTGAAGCTACACTGCTGTCTGCCAGGTTAGGATCGGCTCGTGAACGCTTAAAGAAATGCCTGCAGAGAGCAGGTCTTTCCCTGGGAATTAAAAATGGCATTTTTCCAACTGGGCAGAACCGTTACACTGATTTATTTCTCATTTATAGCCCATGAAGCCTGAGGCTGTTAGTTTTCATTGCTAGAACAATGCAACCAGGTTGGGGAACAGAAGTTTTCTGAATTATTACACACTACATGGATTTTTCTACGTTAATGACTGTCAGTGCAAAAGAATTGCTGTGATTCTCAGGTGTTGCTTGCTGTGCCTGTACTGCACCACAGAATCTTACACTGCTGCTAGCATCAACACAGCTGGCTCTCCATCCTGCTTCACCTGCGGCCACACCGCTTTCGCCTTTCCCTGTTTATTAAAAACACTAAATCAGGAGCATTTCTACTTTTTAAAAGCAAAATGCTCGGCACAGCCCAACTGCAGAGCTAGTGAAAGCAGGAGCCGTGCCGACAGTTTTTAGGCGGGCTTGAAGGTTTTGCTTGTTCATCACTGTTCTTTGAGAAAAAGAGGGAAGCGAGAAAGCCTTGGAATGAAAAAAAAAAAAGCAGGAAAAAAAAGCTGGGGAATGAAAAGGGTTTGAGAAGGGAAAAGGAAGGTGTGAGAATAACTGGAGGAGAAAAAGGCCAGGGTAGGGGAGAGAGGAGAAGGGGGAGGGCTAGACAAAAGAGCACGTTATTTGGGCTTGATTTTGTCCTGATAGCCACATCCTATATAACCACTTTGAAAGAGGCTCTGAATGCAAAACACAGTCTGCTGATAGCATAACGCTAACTCTTTTTTATTATGCTGTCAGCAGATGCCCTCTCTCTATATTTATAGCCTAATTACTCCTAGTTACCTACGTATGACTCTGTTTAATATTTTTCATGCCTCATGTTGGCTAACAAGATGCAGTTTAACACAACTTCGTATTTCTGAGGCTTCAGGCTAGACTGGTGAGAAGGAAACATGACTATGTACAGAAACAGTTAGGTTTATAAACAAGTAACTGGTACCAAAAAAATGGAGAAAGCACCAAAGCATTTCTCAAGCTGATAGCATATTAATTGCATAACTCCCTTTTATGTAACTAAGTATAAAAGACATTTTAATAACTATAAAAATGAAAAGCCAGAGTCTTTCAAGAACTGAGGAATCTTCCAGGCTTGAGTTATGGTTGCGAATGTCCTTAGCAGAGAGGACGCTTTGATATGCTACCACACTCCCCTAGCAGTTTCTGATCAACCACTTTTAAAGGATGGGGTTGATGTCTGTTCTGTGGCTGGCGAGCTGAGTGAGAGTGGAGCTTCCCACGACGTCGCTGACAGAGGAGGAGGTCGTTATGGTGTTGTGCTGGATGACTTGCTGCTGGGAGCAAGCTGGGACCGGGCTCGCAGGAGGACTGCTCTCGGGACCTGGGAAGGGGGTGAGGGCACAGAGACAACACACATTCATTTTTTCCATCTGAGTAAAATGTCCAGGCTGGGTGACACTCCTGGAAATACTAATGAGCTGAGGCATGCATTAAGTCCCAGGATTTCAAAATACACAGTTATCCAACACTCTCTGTCTTCTCATTTGTTGCAGGTTTTGGTATATTTTTCAAGGCTGCTTCTCAGATATCAAACTGACTTCAGGAGTTGAGACCTTGAAAAATGTCCAAGACCTTAAGGATTATGAAACTAATGTTGGGATAAAAAGTCCAATATCTTAAGGTCTTTAAAATCAGTTGGGATGCTTAAATGCTTTATTTGCT